CATATAATAAATATACTATAAAAATTTTAACTAATTTTATTATGTACAATTTTTTTTAAAAAAATTTTTTTAAGTGTTCGCAATAATATGTCCACCCTCTGTAAAAGAAGAATAAATATATTGGAAAAATACAAATCACGAGTTACACAATTAATAGAAATTATTCAGCTGATTGTATGGCGTGTTTTTGCTTTAGATGGCGACTAAAATTACTTTTATATCCGAAACGTTTTCCACATCCCTCAAATAAACATTTGAACGCTAGAAAGAAGCAAAGATAAGTTAGTATTTAGGCACTTATCAGGTATTCGTTACACTACTATACATGAACTCTTCAAAGAAACTTGGACCTTACGTTTTTCTCCTGTATGCGAGATGCCGTGAATTTGCAATGCGCATGGACCCGTGAAAGATTTTCCGCAGATATTGCATTTATGTCGTTCCTTGCGGTTTTCCAATGTTGCTATTTTTTCATAGGTATTTTGTTTGTTTTGCACCGTTGGGTGGGGATACTTTCCAGACAACGCACCAGGTAATTGGTTTACTTTTACGTATGCATCACGTTCACTCTGTTCCATGGAAATAGAATGTAAAGTTGTTTGACACAAAAGGTCTTTTGAGCGTTGACCTTGTGAATCATCAAACAATGCATTTGGTGATAGGCCATTGTCGGTATAGGAATATAAAGTTGTTGGGTAAAAAAAATCCGTTGAGTGTTGAATCGGAAGAAATTGTTCATTGTTGCAGGGAAACTCACTACGAAACTCTGTAGCGTGCCTGGAAGAAATTTGAAAATTTCCAGGGTATTGACTTTGAGAAGATTGTCCCAAGTTATCGATATTTTTCAACACTTCAAATGACAGGGTTTCTTCTTTTTCACTGGTAGAAGTAAAAATTGGAGTTATCGTGCCAGAATAATCTGTTAGGAATTGATCTTCATTGACTTGTCCCAAGTTGTAGGCGTTATTTTCCAACAAATTCGGTGACATTTCACCAGAGGCATATGAGAATTGCGCGTCAAAAGTGAAATTCGAAATTTCTGGGCTAAATAATTCAAAATTGTATTGTTGCAATTCATCTTGATCTGAAACCTCAAAAAAACGATAATTATTCGTGACTTTTGCATGCGGCAAATCCGTTCTTAAACTTGATCCCAAGTCACCGTGGTTGCCAAAATTGTTGTAAATATCATGTGAGCACGATTTCATATTGTAATGTTCTTGAAAGATATTAGGAATCGTTGTAATGAGTAATTTCAAATGACTGAAAACCTTGAAAAAAACAACCGGCAGATAGAGAATGGAATATGCTTTATAAATAAAATTTGTTCAATATTATTAAAAAAAAATAAAGTAACTAAAACTAAAACTAAATCGAGTAAATTGTAAAATCTGTTTTGAGTAATCAACAAAAATCATTATTTTTGATGAAGAATGTGGCGATGCAAGGTGATTTCATCGTGCATGCTTGATAAACAAATTGGCCAGAGCTTATGGAAAGGAAGGGAAATGGGCCACGTACTGTGTGTATGTGACTCGAACAGCTATTCTACGAATACAGCATATGTGACACGTCAAACAACAATCAAGATCTTCGTTTTACTTATCTTACTCCGGTAAATAAATCTTAAATCAAGTTATTATTGTGGAATACCTCCCACACCAATTACCTCGTATGTAAAGTCGAAATAAAAAATACTTTTTGGGATAAAATTATGAGATAAAGATTTAAAAGAGTATCTTTCATTGTTATAACCTTTTTTGAAATTAATAAATAAAATAAAAATCCATAAAATATTATACGTATAGTATATCTTTATAAGACTTAACCTTTCAAAAAATATATTAACATTATAGTTAATAAAAATATAATATAATAAATAAAAATTAAAAAATAAAATAATAAATAAACCTTTTAATGTATCTAAAAGATTTTAAATAAATCCAAAATAACAAAAAAAAAATATGTCAATTAATAATTCTTAAAGTATCAATAAAAAATAATTTATATAATAATTAATAACTTGATATTTATTTAATATTACTTAGTAATATACTATATAACAGATTGATATTGGAATTATTATATTCTTCTTTTTTTAATATTTGATATTTTTATTAATTCAAATTTAACTTTTTATTTAATATTTTCTAAATTTTATTTGTATTTTTAAATTATACTATATAATAAATATTCTATTTATTTAATAAAATAATATGATTTTTTTTTTATTGTTTATTTATTTAAAATAATTTTAATTTTGTATTTAGATTTTTTATATTTAAATATAATAAATAATAATTATAATACTATATATAAAATTTATTCAACAATTTTTTTATAAATAAAAATTTTTTTTTTATAATGAATAAAATGATATTATAACCATTCTGAGAATATGGCCTGATAATGAAAATTAATCACCATTGTTATATGGCTTGATAACAAAAGTTGATTATTATTGACATTAGTATAATATATTTTTTAGATTATATTTAAACTGATATATATCAAGACAGTAGTTTGATTTCTGTTATTAAATTATATATAATACAATATATATCAATTTGATAATCGCAATTAATTTTAAAATTAAGATGCTTTTCAAATTAAGTTATACTAGTTGATAAATTATTACTCTATATAATGTTTTAAAGCTTTTAAATTTTTAAATTCATTATTTAAATTTATATAATATATGATAACTATATTTAATTTTAAATATAAGGAGTTTTTCGAGATAGGTTATGCTAGTTTATATATGATCTAATATTAAAAGTTGGTTACTGTCGTCAAGTCACATAGGTAAAAATATAAATCTAATAATATATTCAATTGTATATTGACATTTGTAAAGACATATAGTCAAAGTATATAATATCTAGTTTATTATATATATGTTATATATATATTATTTGAATATGCTATATAGTATATTATTAAATATATATATAACTTATATCACAAAAATTATACATATGGTGAAAATTATTGAATTGAATTAGATACAATTAAAAGTCAAGAATTTAATAATTAAGTCAAATAGTTTTTTTTATAATTAACACAATTAATACAATTATGATACAATGCTACAATTGTACTACAATGCTACAATTATTTTAATATGTATAATCATATAATTTTGATGCAATTATATAATTTGATATTATTTTAATATGATATAATTATTTTTAATTATGATGAAATTATATAATTTGTTATAATTATACTATAATATTGCAATTGTGACATAATTTTTAATTGGCTAATAAATTAATTTATAAAAATTTTTTTATATATTGTATATTATATATATAATAATAATTATTGAATTAAGTTAGACACAATTAAAATTAAAAATTTTAATAATTAAATTAACAATAATTTTTTATATAATTAATGCAATTATAATATAATTGTGATGTAATCATTTTAATTAATGCAATTATTTAGTAAATACAATTATTTTAAAAAATAAATTTATATAATTAAATATATTATTTTTAATTCTAATAAAACTTTATTAAATTTTTTTTCTCTTCCACAACTAGACAACTATAAGTTATATTTTTTGAATAGTGATGTTATTACTATTAATAACTCAGTATCATGTTACTCTTATAATCTTAACTCAAATCCTCTATCCCTCTTCTGGCCCATTCTTACCTTACTTATTCAAAGTATCCCACAATTCTCAACAGCAACATGTTACTCCTTTCTCAAAATTAATACCTATCTTTCTGAATATATTAATCATCAAGTTAAATATCCCTATAATAATTTTATCTTAATAATTAATGAACAAGTAAAAGTTAAAAATATAATTCTTACTTGGGTCTTTGACAAGAACCTATTTCCTGCCTCAATGCCTCATGGACCATCTCTACCAATTCTAATAGTACATCCATCAAAATACAGCACATCACCCCTAATCAATCACAATTATGCAACAAGTATTATGCATTGGATCAAGTTCATCACACATTACACCAACCTTTTCAATCTTCTTCTCAGTAAATCGGCAACACACAAACCAACAACCTTAAATGAACTGGAAATAATCACCAAGTCTAATAAAAAACTTCGAAAAATTGACAATCTTAACTACAAGTCACTAGCTACCTTTAGGATCAAAGTTTTTTCAAATCAACTTCCTATCAGAGTCAAGCTTCACAAAAGATATCCCCAACTTTATATCGACAACATCTGCCCACGATATGAGGTACATATAGAGAACCTTGATTATATTTTCTCTTGCTACCACAGTTTAATTATACTAAGGAAAAAAAGACCTAAGCTTGAGGCTATTATTATTTCTAATATTCCAAAAGAAATAGCAACCTTACATGAAGCCAACCACCTCCATATTATTAGCTTGACCAGCTCTATAATAACTGACTTGTCCCTGGGCAAATTCACAACTTCCTTTAATATTCTTCATAAGAAGGATGAAATCTCAAATTATTCTCTTAAAATTCTTTATAAAATCTGGAAACAGCGCTCAGCAACTGCCACCACATCACCAACATCAGGAATTAAGTGGAAAAAAACCAAAGTCGATAGTTCTAATAATAATATTGATCAATCCCCTCTAAATTGTTTTCAAAATGTTCTTAGTAGTTTAAAATTATCAGATAATCTAACAAATAAAAAAATATTTACTCCAATAATAGTATCATCGTTTTGAATAGGCATTAGCCATTCAACACTTTCAGTATATAAATACCTACTTGGTGGCAATGCATACTAAAGGTAAAAAGTTGCATTAGGCTACAATTAACTTGCTTACTATGTATGTAAAGATTGTTAATGTAATGATTATAAACTAAAGTTTAATAAATGTCTCATATTTAATGCCTGTTTGCAATAAAAAAAAAAAAAAAACTTTATCAAATTTTAATTAATTTATATAATTAGATTAAATACTTATTTAAAAGAAAAAAAAATTCTTTTTTATTTATAAATTTATTGGTTTTCTTACAGATATTATATCTAAACATCCAGATCTTAACCAAAATTAATTAGGCTATATAAAAATAGGATCTTTAATTAATATTACAAATTGTTAGTTGAAAAGTTTGGAATTAATCAATCAGAGTATAGGGATTTTTAGTTGTAACTAGTTGATTATAATTAAAACAACTAATTGATTGGAAAAATTTTAACCAACTAAGATCACTATCTCTGATCTTTCTAACAATCATGGACTAAAAACAGATCAAAGCAAGAAAGGTTGTACAAAAAAAATTTCTGATCTAATTTTGATAAAAGCTTATAACTTTCCTGACATAGCAGACTCCATAGTATAAAGAATACTTTAGCCTAGGGCTATTTCAATCTGGTACTTGTTTAAAAGAAGAGAAACCAATAAAATAAAAATTTAAAACTGCAAGTAGTAACAAAGAGTATGATACTTTCTCTGAAAAACTAAACAAAAAATATTTAGGATATCCAGGTATTTTAATTATTTTTGTAAAGTACATGCTTCAAATAACAAAATCAGGATTTAGATTAGATTAAATAGTTTAAAACTAGTAATAGGATTTCTATTTCCTAAAAATTCTATTCAGTAAGTCAAACCACCTTCTTGATGATAAAATTTAAATATTACTGAATAAGGCTATAAGTAAAAGAGCAAATTAACTTAAATAAACCTTTATAATTATATACTTGGATATAAATAATCCAAAAATAAAATATATATACTATTAGTACTCTTTATTCCTTCAAAAAAAAATTCTTTATTAAATTATATAATAAAAATAAACATTAATATTAAAATTATTAAATAATTTTAATTTAAAAAAATTTTTTTATAATAGAAATTTTAAAAATTTTAATTAATCTATACATTTTAAAATATTTTAAAAATGGATCAAAAAAATTTAAAAAAAAATAAATAAGCTGCTTTTTTGATTTCCAAAATTTTTTTTATCAATTACTTTCTTCCTATTATTAGATTTATATTTTTTTCTATATTATTTATTAAATAATAATATTTTTTATAATAAATCAAAATTTTTAAGTTGTTATTATTTTATATTAATAGGAAAATTATCTAAGTTATTTATAGTAAGTTTGCTTTAGTAAGTTGTGAAATTCAATAAAATTATAATCATCATTACTCTATTAAAAATTAATGGCTCAACTCTTTGACTTGGATAATTAGTTTATTCTATAAAATAATATAAAGAATTTTGACTTATTA